CAGGGCAGATTCAATTACTAACCAGGGAAGTGAAGGAACAGCAGAAAGAAAGAACACAGCAGTGATCCTCCTCAGGGAGGTGCATAACAATATGACACATACCTCCCAGTTCTGACAGAACTAGGGCCTCCATCCAGGATGAAGACAGTATCTTCAGGCTGAACACAAGCATGTTCTGGCTCCAACCCTAATTGGTGGGAATCAGAATGCTGATGACTGAGATTCCTAGAACACCACCCTGTTACCTCACCACCAACAGATTAAGAGGAAGTCACACACCCTACAGCGTTCTCCCCAGAACTTTTGTCTATGAAAACTCTTCCCTGAAAATTACCAGGCAGTTTGAGTCTCTGGAGCATGAGTTGTCCCATTCTCTTTGCTTGGCCCCTGCAGTGAACTTTTCTCTACTCCAAACTCAACGTTTGCTCGGCCTCATTGTGCATCAGGCACATGAACTTGGGTTCGACAGTAATACTACTTAGGGCTCTCACACATGTCGTGTTCTCTGCTTCGATCTTTTTTTTCACCCATAACTCTACCTGACTTAGCAATCTCCTACTTGTAAGCTTCTGAGCAGCTGTCTCCTCAAAAAGCCTCCCTCCTCCCACTGCCTATCCCCCACTCCACAAGCTAACTCACATCATTATGTGTTCTGGCAACACAATACATCTATCTTGTAACACTCATCACACCCAAAAAATAAACTTGTCCATTTAATGTCTGTCATCCCTTCCCACCCCTCCCCCTAAGAGGGAAGTGACATAAAAGCAGGGCCCAATACACAGCAGACATGCAATACACATTTATTGCAAAATAATTTGATGATAAAATATTCCTTTAGATAATAAGGTTCTGGTGCACTTTTAAAAATTAATCTGCACCCAACTTTTCAGAAACATGTACAATATTTAAAGGTACATGTAAATAGACTCAGAATTAAAATACTCAAAATATAATTATTAATAATAATTGCTAATATTTACTGAGCATTTACTAAATGCTAGGAACTACACTGAGCACTTTGCATGCACTATATCTCGTTCAATATAACAATCTGTAATCCAGAGGAAGCAACTAAGGCACAGAGTTTCAAAATCTGTTCCAAATCACATATTTAATCAATGACAAACCAGGGTATGAATCCATGCAGTCTGACTCCAGAGCTTAAGCACCTAACTACTACACTAAACTAAGTAATTAAGAAAAGTCAATTCAACAAGTATCTGTTAAATACTGTGAATAAGAAATAATGGCCAAGATTTATTTTTCATTACTTCTCCATTAAAGTAAGGCTCCTCATCCCTCTATCTTGCACTCTTCTCCACACACACAAAATTAAGATAGATCATCATTTGTATTTTCTCAACTAGGAAAGATGATCCTTTGACCACATCCAAAATAGGCATGAACTTAGTACCAAGTGTATCTTAAAATGCCATCATCCTGAATTACTTTTAAATATGTTAATGTTAATTCAGAAAGACAGCATTTTAACAGACAGGATGAGACAGTTGGATGGCATCATCGACTCAATGGACATGAGTTTGAGCAAACTGTGGGAGACAGTGAAGGACAGAAAAGCCTGGTGCTGTAGTCCACGGGGTGGCAAAGAGTCGGACACAACCAAGTCACTGAACAACAACATTAAAGTTTACACATTAATGTTTCATATTTTACATTGAAACCTGATTATTTGAATGATATACTATTTGGAATGTATTTTGTTGCTCAAATTAGAAAAATTACTTGTAACTATAAACTGTTTTCAGATATGGTGACAATCAATATAAAAATAAACTGACTTACCACATAAAACATGCTCAGAGATAATAAAGGGATCCCTCAACACCTGAACTCTATCCCAATTCGTGCTTTCCAAAACTCAAGAACCAAACAGATCTGAATAAGCGTCTCCCATAAATGATTTGTCGTCCAGACTCTTACTACCCAAAACCTAAGATTTGGCTCACTCGCCATAACCTTGTTAAGAGAATTCAGTAACCAATCTCTCACTCCAAACTCAGAAATCCAACAGTTTTGTACAGCGAAACAAAAAGCATATGTATTCAAGGGCTATATAAATTTAAGAGTTCTTGTTTTAAGAGATTTAAATAGGTTTTTAAAATGTGAAAAAAAATGCACATATTGCACATATATGTATTTTCATTCAAATTTGAAATTGAAACTCCACTTAACATAATTTTTCTATGTGAACATTTTTAAACTAGAATGTGCCACATTTCTTAACCTTTAAACCAGTTTAAAATATAAAGGAAACTGTTAAGTATATGACAGATAACTATAAGAAAGTTAAATAATGTTAATTTGTGGCTTCAAAGAACTATGAAATCAGTCTTAGCATCTTTTTAAAAAAAAAATACTTATCATTATAAATACTATGGGAAAGTATTTATACTTTCAGTGTTAATTTTTCAGCAACATATTTCACAGGTCACATCAGATTTTTCTCAAAGTCACAAAGAGCAAAGGACAAAATAAAAGAAACAAATTTAAAGAGCACAAAAGTTGAAGATGATAGCAAAAATTGCAAATTAATTTGGTTACAGACGAATGGTATGAAACAATTTTAGAAGTAACTACTCCATAAGGTTCAGCCAAAAGTCAAAGAAACAGCAAGCAAAGAACTAGACTGAGAAAAAGGAAAAATCAGCTCTCATTACAACAGTCCATTTTCCTAAAGTATTTAACTTCAGATAACATTTGCTCACAAGCTTTTTCGAAAACTTTGTGCTTGAGGAAAAGTTAAAACTAACATCAGTTGAGAACAGAATATAAGCCTTTTTTTTTTTCAAACATACTCAAAAATTAATTTAAGAAATGGAGCAAACGGGGGAAAGATGGAGCAAGGGAAAAAAAGAAAACAAAACTGTAGGTTTGAAGAAAGCAAACTACTTTCCTAGATTCTTCTTTTGATATAATAAAATATTTAAAGAGAGCTAGAGCTCCCATTTTATCCTAATTTGGATACATTCTCCCAAGAGCTCACTTCAGATTTAGTGACTGGAAAGAATGTGAACCCTTTAATTAAGCAAATTTCAAGAGTTACTTGACACACACTACCTTCCACAAAGAAGGGGGAAGAAAAAGGTCAGAACAAAATTATATTTAAAAACATAACCAAATCTTGTGTACAAGACTCACAAAGTGAGTGACTTAAGATTCAGTGAGATCTTTAACTTAACTGATTCCACAAAGAGCACCAAAATACATCTACTGTGCCTGTGCCTGTTCTACCAAAATGCTTAAGCTTCACTACTGAGGTTAACTACCAGCCAGAGAACGAGGGCCCTTTGAGAGACAACAAATCCATAGATGTCCGGATTCCATGGATCCATTTCACAGGGTGGCACAATGACATAAAGCAACACCTTCTTAATAAATGAAGGCACGGCCTATTTCACTATTTCTTCAGGTAAGTTTTCATACCTCCACTCCCAACTGTTCACATCAGACCCAACACCCCTGAACACAAATGTTCCTCCTACATAAAAGGAAGGAGCTGGACTTTGGATGGGGCTCTGGAGTCCTTCCAGTTTGTGGTTCTCTATTTAACTAGCTGTGAAATCACAATACAGCTCTCACAACTCAGGGAAAGTTACATTTAACTGCCCAAAAATAACAGATCTGATACAATAAACCATACCTCGCTCTGCCAAACGTTAATACCAGAACTTCTGAAATAAACAAACCTGTGTCTATGCTCATCTGGTCCATGGATCAGGAAGATTCCAGAGTGTTTCGCCCCTTTGCCAGCATCTACATGAGGAATTAACACATCTTCCAAACCCAGATCAAAGCGTTTGTGTTTTGAAGAGTCTGGAAGAAAGAAGAATGCCCCAAAACACAGGGTGATGAAGGCACTTAGAATAAGGAGGAGAATAAACTTCTCAGAAAGTCTCAAGGTAGCCCTGTGATGCGGGAAAGAAGGCGGCCCCAGGTTCAGAGGAGGTATCCTTCGTCCAGAGAGGGGTAGCAGCGCTGGGGTAGTCATCGTTTAAGCTCTTGGGCAAAATATTTTATAAAGTTCTCATCTTATATCAAACGTACGATACATTGAACAGTCTTCGGAATCTTGGCAAAAATGGGAAAATCCAATTTTTCTCCTCTTAAAGGACTGTTGTGCTTTTCAATAGGGCACCTCTTTCACGCTCAATCAATTACATGCAGAAACGCGTGTGGCCCCAAAACGATCACTAGTTTAAGTCCTGTGATATTTTTCTTTGCCATCTGGCTTTCGGTACCTCACCGGGTGATTACAAGTCTCCTCTTCATTCCCAAGGGTAGATCAGGCTAGCAACACCGCAGAAAGGATGCAAGGTGGGCTCTTCCATTCCTGCACCTCCTGGAGATGCTCCAACGTGGTCTCCCGCCCCAAAAGGGAGACTGACGTGATCCGAGGAGTTGTAGAAGGTTCACTTGGGCTCCTCTGATGCTTCGACTGGAGAATTTGTTAATCTCAGTGGTGGAAAAACAAGGGGCTCTTCGGAAGTCGGCCAACCGAGAGGAGGGGTCTCCCGCCTCAGCGCGAAGCCAAAAGAGCGACGCTGGGTGAAAAGCAGGAAAGAGGGCTCCTACGCCCGCGCCTCCCGACCCTTTCCCCCGGCTCCGAGGGCAGGCGACAGCTCCGAGTCGCCCCCTCGACAGTCGGCGCGAAGGGCATTCGCGTCTAAAATACCTGCGCCCTCCCAGCCGCGGCCGCTGTTGCTACCGCTCGGATCTGTCAGCGAGCGGAACTTCCTCCTCCGCGGCCACTGAGAAGCCCCTGCGTGTGCTGGGGGAGGGGAGGTGCGTCGACCGCCCCCGCCCGGCTCCTCCTCCTCTCGGCGGCCGGTTAAGTTAACCCCGGGGCCGACTCCCCCAGAGAGGCCGCCGCTGACCCCGCCGCACCCGGGCCCGGCGACCGAGCCTCCGCAGCCCGGAGGCGTAAGAAGCAGCCGAGCCGCGGCCCTCAGGTCCGAGAGCCCGGGGCAGGCGCCTGCTCATTCCTCCCTCAGCCCGGGGGCGGCGGCGGCCCCGGGCGCGCGAGAGCAGCCGCGCCTCAGGCGGGCAGAGGTCAGTTCCGTCTCCTTCCTCCCCGACCGCCGGTCGCCGTGAGGGCCTCCGCCGCGCAGCCTCGGGTCGTTCGCAGCTGCTCTCTCTGGCGGTGGCGGCGGCTGCGGGAGAGGCAGCGCGTCCACGCGGTGCGGGGCTGCGGCCCGGTCCTCGCCCTGTGGCACTGTAGGCCCCGAGAGCGCGGAGCAGCCGGGGGCCTTCACCGTTGGGCACACGCCGGAGAGGAGCCGGCGTGTGGGGGTGGGACGGATGGCGCGGGCCGGCCTCCGGCCCCAACTCGCGAGTGGGCGTCCCCGGGCGGCGGAGTGTGAGGTGCGCGCGCACGCTCCCGGCCCCGCCGCCGCCCCTCCCCCGGCCCGCCCGGCCCGCGCTCCGACCTCGCGCCGCTGCAGGCTCCAGCGCCGCCCTCCCGCCAGCCGCCGGCGCGCCCCCCGGAAGCGTCCTGCCGCCGCGGTCTGGACGCTTGGGGGGAGAAGGTCTCCAGTCCGCGCTTCAGTGATAACTTCACCCGTGCCGGGCTTTGCCAGCGTCATTCGTGGGACTGACCGAGCGTTTGGGGCGGGGCTGGGGAGTGTTCAGGTCACCGAGGCTTCGCTGCAATCAAATTACTGGGACTCAAAGAATCTGATGGCCAAGGTTAACGATTAATCTTGCTCTGTGGAAATCATGTCTTCAGTTGTGGACCGTTGATCCCTTAGGGCTCAAAGACTGGGTCTTCAACTGCTTTGCAGCCCCTATGCGCGTCGTTGGGCACCCGAGGCTCGAGTCATCTCTGTTGAGCATCAACCAAGTGCCTGGCTCTGTGTTTAAAATGGCGACCTTTCATTTAGGTGTCCTGGTTAAGGAGTCTCCAGCAGCAGCCCATATGACCCCACAGGACAGCAGCCTCGTCGTCGTTCAGTTTCTGAAAGACCTTCTCCCAGCATCTCCTTCACACTCCTCACCACCACCACTCCTGCAAAAGAGATAATAAGTATAAACGAGGAGGTGCTAGAACCCCAAAAGACAACCATATTGTTTAAATTAAGCCTGAAAGGCAACCTGAGTTGATTTCTGTTATCCATAGTGTTCAGAACCATGTTGTGATTGCTGATGGTGGTTTAGTCGCCAAGTTGTCTCCGACTTGCGACCCCATGGGCTGTAGCCTGCCACGCTCCTCTGTACATGAGATTCTCCAGGCGAGAATACTGGAGTGGGTTGCCATTTCCTTCTCCAGGGGAGTCTTCCCGACCCAGGAATTGAACCCGGGTCGGTCACCTGAATTGCAGGCAGATTCTTTACCAACTGAGCTGTGAGGGAAGCCCCCGTGTTGTGATTAAGAACAAAAAATTTATATGATACACAAATACTCTTCCAACTTTGAGATTGTGTTTGATATTAAGATGTCATTCCCTCTACACATCCTTAGTGATAACTGGGAATTGGAAAGGAGTCCCTTGAGTGGCAGGGACAAAAGGTCAGCCTTAGCTAAAAATCAAACAAAAAATCCTCATTCATTGGCACGGTTCAAAGTACATTACAGTCTGCACTATTTCCAGAAGTTCTGCATATCTAACTACCTACCATAGGAAAAAAGAAGTCATTGTCATTGATTCACCAAGTGAAACAAAGACATAAAAATGTTATGTGCCACCTCGCACCCATTCAGGCTGGCAGCCCAATCCAAAGTGAGGTTTGTGTTGGACACTTGTGAAAAGTAGATGTAAAAAATTCCCTGCCTTCCCAATGTGTCTTTATAAAGTGTGCCAATTTTATGAATAAGTTTCTAATGCTGAGCCTGTCTGTAAGCCAAAGAAGAAACCCGTGGGTTTCCAACTGTTGAGGTCATTACTTTCCATGGAAAGATCAGGGGAAATAAATTTGATTTCTAAATGAAATAGCAAGTTATATAATCCTTGAAGGATAAATATTATCTACATCAACACCAAATTGTTAACCACAGTCATATCAATCATGAAACCTGCTTTAACCTAGTAGACAAGTATGACTCATAGCTGGTGGAGAAGACTTACCTGTGTCCCCCTCTCTTGCCCTTGCCTGTTTTGCAAAATTCACTTTTCCTTCAGGAGAGTAAAAACATCATTACTTAAATTAGAGGTTATTACAAATGCAGTCTGCAATTCTAAGGCCATTGATGATGCTGTTGATTATCTTACTGTAATCCTACACAAGCATCAAAAAGTGTGTGTTTTCATTCTAGAGACTAGTCCCTGAAATGATTTTTAAAAGAATCAGTATTGTTTTGTTGATCTTTAAAAGCAAGTCAAAAATATATTCGTAAATTATGACTACAAGTATATAAAATTATGTGTATAAAAAATTTAAAGGGAATATTTGAAGAAGACTCTAGCTGTTGTTAGCCACAGACTTATCAATCATGAAACCTGCTTTAACCTAGTAGAAAAGAAATGCAAAAAGGCAAAATGGTTGTCTGAGGAGGCCTTACAAATAGCTGTGAAAAGAAGAGAAGTGAAAAGCAAAGGAGAAAAGGAAAGATATTCCCATTTGAATGCAGAGTTCCAAAGAATAGCAAGGAGAGATAAGAAAGCCTTCCCCAGCGATCAGTTCAAAGAAACACAGGAAAACAATAGAATGGAAAAGACTAGAGATCTCTTCAAGAAAATTAGAGATACCAAGGGAACATTTCATGCAAAGATGGGTTCGATAAAGGACAGAAATGGTATGTACCTAACAGAAGCAGAAGATATTAAGAAGAGGTGGCAAGCGTACACAGGAGAACTGTACAAAAAAGATCTTCACGACCCAGATAATCACGATGGTGTGATCACTTGCCTAGAGTCAGACATCCTGGAATGTGAAGTCAAGCGGGCCTTAGAAAGCATCACTATGAACAAAGCTAGTGGAGGTGATGGAATTCCAGTTGAGCTATTTCAAATCCTGAAAGGTGATGCTGTGAAAGTGCTGCACTCAATATGCCAGCAAATTTGGAAAACTCAGCAGTGGCCACAGGACAGGAAAAGGTCCGTTTTCATTCTAATCCAAAAGAGAGGCAATCCCAAAGAATGCTTAAACTACCGCACAATTACACTCATCTCACAAGCTAGTAAAGTAATGCTCAAAATTCTCCAAGCCAGGCTTCAGCAATACATGAATCATGAACTTCCAGGTGTTCAAGCTGGTTTTAGAAAAGGCAGAGGAACCAGAGATCAAATTGCCAACATCCACTGGATCATTGAAAAAGCAAGAGAGTTCCAGAAAAACATCTACTTCTGCTTTATTGACTATGCCAAAGCCTTTGACTGTGTGGATCACAATAAACTGTGGAAAATTCTGAAAGAGATGGGAATACCAGACTACCTGACCTGCCTCTTGAGAAACCTATATGCAGGTCAGGAAGCAACAGTTAGAACTGGATGTGGAACAACAGACTGGCTCCAAATAAGAAAAGGAGTACGTCAAAGCTGTGTATTGTCACTCTGCTTATTTAACTTATATGCAGAGTACATCATGAGAAATGCTGGGCTGGAGGAAGCACAAGCTGGAATGAAGATTGCCAGGAGAAATATTAGTAACCTCAGATATGCAGATGACATCACCCTATGGCAGAAAGTGAAGAGGAACTAAAGAGCCTCTTGATGAAAGTGAAAGAGGACAGTGAAAAAGTTGGCTTAAAGCTCAACATTCAGAAAACTAAGATCATGGCATCTGGTCTCATCACTTCATGGCAAATAGATGGGGAAACAGTGGCAGACTTTTATTTTGGGGGGCTCCAAAATCACTGCAGATGGTGATTGCAGCCATGAAATTAAAAGACGCTTACTCCTTGGAAGGAAAGTTCTGACCAACCTAGATAGCATATTAAAAAGCAGAGACATTACTTTACCAACAAAGGTCTGTCTAGTCAAGGCTATGGTTTTTCCAGTAGTCATGTATGGATGTGAGAGTTGTACTGTAAAGAATGCTGAACGCCAGAAAATTGATGCTTTTAACTCTTGTGTTGGAGAAGACTCTTGAGAGTCCTTTGGACTGCAAGGAGATCCAACCAGTCCATCCTAAAGGACATCAGTCCTGGGTGTTCATCAGAAGGACTGATGCTGAAGCTGAAACTCCAATACTTTGGCCACCTCATACGAAGAGTTGACTCACTGGAAAAGACCCTGATGCTGGGAGGGATTGGGAGCAGGAGGAGAAGGGGATAACAGAGGATGAGATGGCTGGATGGCATCACAGACTCGATGGACATGAGTTTGAGTAAACTCCGGGAGTTGGTGATGGACAGGGAGGCCTGGTGTGCTGCGGTTCATGGGGTTGCAAAGAGTCGGACACAACTGAGCGACTGAACTGAACTGAACTGATAGCTGTTGTGTTAAGATGGTATTACATGTGGTTTTTCCACATGTGCTCTGTTTGTATTACTTTTATAATTAAATAAAAATTTTCAGATAGACTGACATTTGAGAAAGTTAAGGTCAAATTTCAAATAAGTGGACAGAGTTGTATCAAGATGAACACACATCTGAAGGCAATCAACAGGAAACAGAGCCTACGTGAGCAGTGGCATTTCTCTATAACTCAGATAGTAAAGAATCTGCCTACAATGCAGGAGACCTGGGTTCAATCCCTGGGTCGGGAAGATCCCCTGGAGAAAGAAAGAAAGAAAGTGAAGTCGCTCAGTCGTGTCCAACTCTTTGTGACCCCATGGACTGTAGCCTACCAGATTCCTTCATCCATGGGATTTCCCAGGTAAGAATACTGGAATGGGTTGCCATTTCCTTCTTCAGGAGATCTTCCCGACCCAGGGGTTGAACCCGGGTCCCCCGCATTGTAGGCAGACGCTTTACTGTCTGAGCACTAGGGAAGCTCTGGAGATGGCAACCTGCTCCAGTATTCTTGCCTGGGAAAGCCCATGGACAGAGGACCCTAGCAGGCTATAGTTCATGGGGTCAAAAAGAGTCAGACACGACAGAGCACACACCCAGACATAGACAAGATTCCAAAATGACAGATGAATTTCCCTTTTATAAATCCATATAAATTAATATTTTAGGAAATAAGAATTATTAAGTTCATAATAAAACAAAATTTATCCCGACAGTTCAGATTTATAGGACCGTTACTGAGATCCACTTATGTATTACAGTCTAACAGCTATTTGTTCAATCATACCTTTTCCATTATTGAAATAATTTAACATCTATTAACACATACATCTATTAGCACACATACATACACCATCTAGCTCTGTTTTCAGTGAAACTGAAGTCATATACTAGAGAGAAAAAATATAGCTGGAATGCAAAAAGAGGCTTTTGATTTACTTATATAACCTGTTCCTTCTTAGTTTCAACTGGTCCCCAAGGAAGATGTTATAGGAGAAATTATGACATCATCATTAATGTGTAGAAAAATTACTAAGTTTTGGCCAGCTCTTTCCACTCTTGCATTCTTCTATAAAGTTTTTTCCCTAGAGGTCAGGGATAAGCTGAAGCTCAAGGTTATGAAACTCTCAAGTTAGCTCTCTGTAACTAAAGGATAAATGATCCTTTAACTAAAAGCGGATCCTTTACCACTG